CCCCCCCCCCCCAGTCAAACACCCGTTGCCTTCGTAACATCCCTATATGTGCAGTTCTAAATTTTTCTTAAAATAAACCCTGGGCCTGTATCAAGCTTGCAAACAAGTTGTGACGATATTGTCATGCCTTCAAGTTGATACAAGGTTCCCCACTCACAAATTGTTATCAAATTGTCGAATTGCAGGACGAGAACAAGTTATCGGAACAACTTGTAACAAGTTTTTCGAGGCAACAACCTTGTAACAATTTGTCAAACTGTTGTTATAAGCTGGGAACAAGCATTGCGAATACATCCTTATGACATGTTGTTGAAACGGGATTTGTTTTGTCTTTTGATTTTTTGTATGCAAGTCCTTGCGTCGCTATGTGATTTATCTATTTTTTAAATTTATTCCGGCCCATGCCCAACATTTCCTGACAAATAATTACAATATATTTACAAACGCCAAAGCTGGAGATCTATTATACAAATGTGGATAATATGTAAAAATAATAGAGCGATTATATTTAAAAGGGATTTCCGTTTGGACGATCCACTCGTTGGTATACAGCTATTTCAATTAAGGTTGTCCCCCGAGCAAAGCGGAAAAGTCGAATACGAGCGCGAAAAGCTGGGAACCGCCTTGAAAATTCATTAATTTGTTAGCGATTCCCAGCAGCCTTTCGCGCTCCTATTCGACTTTTCCGCTTTGCTCGTGGACATGAAATAGCTGTATGCATTGAAGATTAACTATATAATTGATTAACTCAATTATCCATTTTCAAAATAATACAATGTAATGACGTCCTTGATCAACAACCGTGTATAAAACGTTTCAGAAAAATATTTTGTATGAAAATGAAAGCTTTATAGTAATATATATTAAAGACTTTGGTGGGGACGCAACTACCTGAAAATACAAGGAGAACTTCGACGTTTCGAGCGAAGGCGCTTCCTTCAATTTTTCATGTACTTGCATCCCTATAATCTATATCAATCCTATTACTGGAAGTTCCTACACTGGCACAGATTGTTCAAGATTATATTTAGTATTATAATATATAGTCATTCACCGTATATGAGCTGTTCTGCAATCTGATTGGTTGAATTATACTCGCCGTATATCAGCTCATATACGGCGAGTAGCGAAAAACAAGATGGCCGTCCAAAAACTACATGAGTTTTGCGAAGCAGAAAAAAGGAAAATATTCGCTTTGAGAAAGATAATAGTACAAGGAAAAACTCTAAAAAAAATTTGACAGATTAGCAAAATACATTTATTACATAGAAATTAGTTTAAATACAAGTTTTTTAAAGAATTAATACCGAAACAACAGCGAAAAAAACCCATATTCATTGAGAATATAACTGTTCAGAAAAGTTTGCAGCGAAAGACAAATGAATTTGCAGTCAACAAGCACTCACTATACTACCAAACGTCTGTATAATATATCTGAGCTTTTCTGTGAGATATACCGGTTCTAAAACCATTTCTTTCACTTCATCTTCGAGTTGTAAAAGAAAAGTATTAATTCAAATTTTCAAGGCCAAGCGGTTTTTGGCTGAACAAATTATCAAGACATTGTAACAGGGGATAATTAATTATTGTTTCAGTTAATTAATGCCTATTAGACTATATTATAAAACAATTATACCATTCGCTCTCGTCGTATATGGCTGATAGCCGACTCGGTGCTACGCACCTCGTCGGCTATCAGCTCATATACGACTCAAGCTCATGGTATAATTGTTAAATATGTTTCAGAAGATTATAGGACCAGATTCAATAACTCATTAAGATCAAAACAACTGGTAGTGCGCCTCGCTTGACTAACCCCATTATCTTATCTCGGAGTCGAAAAACAACAACAATTTCACTTCGATCTAAAAACCCGAATTTAAATGACAGTTTAAGTATATTTAATCGACTTGAACGATCATGAAATTGCTAGCGGTGTTAACCCTAGCATTCGTCTTATCTTTGGCAACCGGTTATCCGTGGAAGCACAGGAAAAATGAGCACGAAAGAAGACGTGTAACTCATCAACATGGCGTCAAAAAGGAACACAAACATGAAACGAAACACGAAAGTGCGAAAGCCAAGCACCGCGGCTCGAAGACGAAAGCCCATAAGGTTTATAAAAAGTTTGGAATGTTTGCTGCGCCTAGTTTTGCGTTTGAAGATAGTTCTGTAGCACCACAAGGACAGGTTGGTCTTCAACAAGTTTTAGTGCCAGTGAACAGTGCGAGTTTCACTCAAAATACTGCCAGGGCTCCCGAAATGCTCTCGTCTTTCACAGCTGTTCCAGCTTCGCAGCGCGCTACATTGGGCACTGAGGTAAGGCGATATGGGCTAATTTGAGTATTTTAGACCACGTTCACATCACACAGGAGCGCAATAATGCCGCCAGAATTTACGTGTGTTCACACAACGCCGTTAAAGTTTGTTTACAAATTAAATTAGCACTCGTGTAAACCCAAAATATTTCAAAAAGAGCAGACAAATTGAAACGAAAAGCATTCGAATTTAATGTTTTGAGACCTGAGATGCTTGGTTTGCAAGTGGTACAAAAAGGTAACGGCGTTTGTGTTGACACGAAGCCACCAAGCGCCCCGTTTTCATCTCGCTCCGTTTATAGAAACCGTGCTCAAATTGTTACGGGTCTACGGCAAAAGTGACGCGACGGCTAATTCTGAATTTTCTGCGCCATTTTCAAACCGCTCCGGCCTTGGTGTGAACGTAGTCTTAATTTTTTTTGCATGTTAGGTAACACACGCATAATATATACTACTTGGTTTTGACCAGGACGCTTATATACCACATAAGCGCCCTGGTTATATACCACATAAGCGCCATATAAGGTATATAAGCGCCCTGGTTTTGACTATATTGAACATTTTCATTTTTCGATACTTTTCTCAATCGGCAAACAAACTTAAAAAAACATGTTTAGTGCTTTACCTTAAAAGTAATGCTAAAATGAAGAGATTTTAGAAAGCAAGCCAGAGAGAAAATGATGTCTGGGGCCGATTGTATAAAACTCTTAATCACTTTTTTAATCACAATTTTGTAGTTAAATAGTGATTAACTCTCAAATAGGCGCTTCTTATTGGATGACGTTTCCACTAACTATAATTAACTTTAATCACTTTTTTATACAACCGGCCCCAGAAGTTCAGTAAGTTTTATATACGATTATACGATTAACAGTTTCAATAGCGCAAATTTCCATGTACATACCTAGACTATTTTATCTTTACAACAATTGACCATTTGCGTAATAGACAAAATTTTGATCTAAACAAGTCTAGACAAAAATTTCATCACAGCTTGAAAAAGCATTACAAAATTAGTAATATTCCAAAGTTTCGTTGCGAAATGTTGTAAAATGCGGATAATATAGCCTTGCGAAGTTTGCAGTTTTCAGTCATTTTAGATTACAAACGGGAAATTGACAGCCTCAAAGCGTATCGGGCTTTCAATTTCCCGTTTGTAATCTAAAATGACTGAAAATTGCAAACTTCACAAGGCTATATTATCCGCATTTTACAACATTTCGCAACGAAACTTTGGAATATTACTAATTTTGTGATGCTCTTTCAAACTGTGATGAAAATTTGTCTAGATCAAAATTTAGTCTATTACGCAAATGATCAATTGTGATATTACTTTTTTAACTGTGTTTATCCTAACCCACCCTATCAACTTTCCCTGTGGGTATAAACAGTTTAGTTGTTGATATAGAAACATTTTAGTTGTTGAAACACGCAGTTTAGTCGAAATTAGTTTCCATAATTTTTCATAGGCATTGGGAGACCAAAGTAGTGCACAACAACAAATCACCACACAAGCAGTACAGCCGCAGCAAACACAAACCGTACAGTACGAAAGCCCGGTAGTTGGTACAAACGAAGACAACTCAGTGCTTAAGACCACGACGCAAGCAGCAACCACTGACGGCGCTACCTTACAAGAGCCTGGGGCGGCACAGACTGAAGTGGTGGGAAGCCCCGCTGGCTCGTTTGGCGCGGGCTCAGAAAGTATCCAAAGCTTCACCCAACAGGATCCTGGGAAGGGCACGGATGAAATGAAAGATTTGCAAGTGTACAATGGACCGTTGCCTGACAGCGGGCAGAATAAGCCTCGGATTGCAGGCATGTCGCCTCAAGAAGACGTCAAGATTGTCAATTTGGGAGACGATGAGAAAACGACAACTTTACAACAAGGTAGGTTACAGTCTTACAGAACTTTAATTTTGTCTTTAGCATTTCTGGTAAAAGTTTGCGAATATATACCGGTACCGTATATAATAATACGATTACAATTTGCTATTCATAGCAATCATATAGAAATAAGCATGTTATGATTTATTGTGCCCTAGTTTGATAGCATTTATTAACTTCCAGTAATTAATTGGATATGAAGAAAGTGTTTCCTTTACCTCTTGTTTGAAGACGAAATGTGATTTTATTTGTTTGAAGTTTTTTGCAAGACCGTTCCGAATTTCGGTTCCTTTGTTTGCTAGGGAATGTTTTGCATAGGTAAATTTTGAAGGACTTGTAAGAATGGTTTGAGGGAAACATCGAGGTTTGAGGGAAACATTGAGTCATTTCCCTCAAACATTTCTTACAAATCATTCAAAACGTCGAACTTACCTTTGCAAAATTCCAACCGTGATCACAGAAACTTTGATAGTGTAAACCAGGTTTAACTATATATAGAAGGTTTTTGAAGATAGAAATTACGAGGCGAAAATCATAATAAAGTAAAATCCTGCATAAAAGAACCTGTGGGATAAGATCCGCCAGTCTGAAATCAATCACCCAATAATATACAAGACCCATTTCATGCTGAGAAATGAGACTGGTTCTGAAAGATCTTTAGAATGCATGTTCTATAGAAGGGCAGGTATATGGGCTGGTACATATTTGATTTAATACCGTTAATTAAGTCCGTTAGAAATGCAGAAAACATAATATGTTGTTTGGTAACTCAAAAAAGATACACTTTATCAAATCAAGACAAATACTAATTAAGGCTAATTTCCACTCCGGAAAATTATCCGTGGATTTGGAACGGACAAGAAAATTCTTCTTTGTGTTGTGAGCTCTGGGTTGGAACTAATGACTTTAACACAAAGAAAACTTTTCTTGTCCGTTCCAATCCACGGATAATTTTCCGGAGTGGAAATTAGCCTTTAGTGTAAGTTATAATGTCAACAGATCACTTATTGCAGTAGGGAAACAGAAACCAACCAGGGATAATTGTTTTTGACTAGAAATAAGAACCTGTTAATAAGAACCAACTCAGCCTGATTTCTCAGTAAGCACTTATTACATAAGGAACACTTCAGCCTGACATAAAAATAGTGGTTCTTTTATACGGGTTTTTAATGTATGCTGTTCTTTCTAGATAAGCCATGTGGAGGTTGTCCTCAGGGAGCGAAATGCGTAAATGGACAATGTCAAATACGGGAAGAAGAAGCCCAAGCAGCAGGATTGACAGGTAAGATGTCTTCTCCACAAATAATATAGAGAATATAGTTTGCACGAATAGACCTTTCCACGTATGAGTGAAATTTTGATCTAGATACGCCTGGACAAAAATTTCACCACAGCTTGAAAGAGCATCACAAAATTAGTAATATTCCGAAGTTTCGTTGCGAAATGTTGTAAAATGCGGATAATATATAGCCTTGCGAAGTTTGCCGTTTTTCAGTCATTTTGCAATACAAACCGAGGAAATTGATAATCAGATAATCAAACTGATTATCAATTTCCCGTTTGTAATACAAAATGACTGAAAAACGGCAAACTTCGCAGGGCTATATTATCCGCATTTTACTACATTTCGCAACGAAACTTCGGATATTACTAACTTTGTGATGCTCTTTCAAGCTGTGATGAATTTTTTGTCCAGATTTGTCTAGATCAAAATTTCACTCAAAAGGGGAAAGGTCTATTCTCCGATACGAGTTCGTGTTATCGATTTTTCATCTTCATATTTACCAGAAATGGACCTCAGATTTGAAATATTCATGCTCAAATTAGTCTATAACGAACATGTCACGTTATTTGGACGTTCAGAGTGCGATTTATGGGGTTTTGAAGATTTTGTTTTTCCTGCACATATACTGGAATTTTCCCTCTATTTTCACTGCAGTTCTGCAGATAGTGAGATGAAAAAATGATGACGTCAACTCGGATCATCCTCTATAGAAATTTATTTAATACAAGCGTACTTTAGTAAGTTATATTCGACCGTGTAAAAATGTCTACAGTATTCATTCTGAACCTATCTCGTGAATTTTTTCAAATACTTCAAATTGCACTCGTTCTACAGGTGGAGAAGCTAGCTGTACCAAACTGGTCATGCTAAAGATTTATATTATTCAAATCTATTGAAATCTATTGTCTTTAAACTATGTTGGCGCAGGAAGCATAGCATAGCATAGCATAGCATAGCATAGCATAGCATATAGCGGTCAGTTGCCAAGGCTAGCTTCTCCACTACGTCCTTCGTTTTTCAAAGACTTCAAATTGCACTCGTGCATGTGTTTTCCAAACTACACTCGAAACTAATACATAAAAAATATTTTCTCCTCATAGGAACAGGCACAGCTAGCAACCCAGGATCCGTTAACGACATTCGCAATTTAGAAACGCAAGAACTCACTTCACTTCTGAAGGATGCTTCAAAGGCGGACCCTCCACCCACAGCTGTCCCTGAAAGTCCCACAGCTGGTGCTGAACGTCCCACAGCTGTCCCTGAAGGTCCCACAGCTGTCCTTGAAGGTCCCACAGCTGTTGCTGAAAATCCTACCGGGTCCCCTATTACCACTCAATTCCACTCCCAAAGTCAAGGGCAACTTCAAGATAAGACGCATAGTAGTGCACAGCAACAGAAAGTAGAAAGCGCACCTCAAACGGCTCAATTAGCGAAACCCGCGTCACCACATGTCGCACAAGGTGCGCAAATGCCAGGAACAGTTGTACAACCTCATTTTACCGGCGAGCAATTGAAAGAACTACGGGACTTTGCACGCATGTACAAAATGTATCAGTTTATACGAAAGATGGAGGAACGACTAAATGATCCAGATTGCGCACCGGTCTGCCGCAAACAATGCAGAAATTTCTGTCCCAAAAAATGTTGCCGCGGTCAGAAAGTTAATACGAACGTCGTGTCACACTTGATGCAGACCGCGGACAAGATAAAAGGAACTGGTAACAAAGCTGTTAAGCAACATACAGGAATGGAGGATAATGGGGGTGCGAACGAGGATAGCGAGGAGCAAGAAGAGAAAAAGATGGATAAAGAAACGGCTGGAAAGAAACATATTTTGATAAGGATTGTAAAGAATGATGAGTTAGATAAACCACGCGCACACATTGCTCATTAAAGCAACCACGTTGAAATATCTTAACAAAGAATGCTAACGTATGCCCAGTTTTACTAAATACTAGCGAACTTAAGCAAGGCTTAATCTAGTACGGGAACGTAACAAGAAACAGCCCTAAATTTTACACTTTTAAAATTATAAAGAACTACTGTTATTAAGAACCTCAACAAGAAGGAAAGTTCATTGATATCATATCATATAATGCAAGGTCGAAAATGAGCAGAAATTAACTCAAATTTCGCGGGAGTTTTATAGACGTTGCCGTTGTCCTGTTTACAACGGCAAAATACAGATTATCACGTCTTGTATAAAACGTTTATATTTCAAGCTGGGACAACTGCTACCTTAAACTGGGTCCCAAAACGTTTGTCAATCATTAACCCTGTGTTAACCTTGATCCTTCAATTGTATTATTTTCATACGATGGATAATAGACAACAGGTTTTCTTCTGCAATTGTTTGGTTCAACGATTTCGTTTGCCGTCCTACATGCTTAAGGTCGCAACTGCCTCAATAGGGCAGAAACCTATGTTAGATTCTCGAAACCAAACAGTTCATAAAAAAGCTTGTGAATTTATTTATAATTTCCACAAGGAATAAGAATCCTATCGTTGTCTTAATAAGACGGTAAAAAGGCCCAAAATACACACTTCCAGATACCAGAAAGTCCTTAGCCTTGGCTATATACAGCCTTGTTTTCAGGATTGAAACATCGGCTTTATTATATAAAGGTCTTTTCTATTATCTAACTGTATGATTTCGTAAAGGTGTCACCTGTAACAAGATAAAAGGCTCTAAAGCCGATTTCTCAATCGTTCGGGATTATTATACATATGACGGGACTACAAGGAAAGTACTTATATGTGGAAATACACAAAACAAGTTACTTTTGTAAATAATAAATTTGATATAACAATGTGTGTACCTTGCTTGTGATTATTTTAAGCTATGGTTAAACCAAACTATAAATCACGTAAGAAAATTCAACATATAATTTGAGAAGTAATTTTGATCAACTGTCATTAGCAAAACCTAGCACAAGTTTTCTTAAGACAAGCTTTTCCTATAGAGCGGCAAAATCGTGGAACAACCTTCCCTTAACTTTAACGCAAAACATCGGTAATAAAACAGCGAACGTATTAAAGACATTGCTCATCAATCACTATGGTAACGACTATAGTGATTGACGAGTACCCCGTGTATGTGTACTTTATAAGCTGTAATAATAATTAAGTATTATTGTACTAGTAAAGATAATTAGTATACCTTGTTGTATTAGTGACTGAGTAGTGTGAAGCTGATGAGTAGTTAGGCTTCATAATTATTATTGTAAATTTTTATTGTGTACACGGCCCATTGAAAACCAGCGAATGCTGAATGGCTACCGTGTTTAAATAATTTTAATAAAACAATAAAGCAATAAAACACAACAAATGCATTCTATTATTAACAAGTGTGATATATTTTTTACATATATTGTTAATATTTTTTTAATTATTTTGTTATTTTAAAATATTATAACGGTTAAATAATCAAAATATATAGGACGTTCAGAGATTGGGCCGCCTGTCGTCCAACTTTCCCATGCAAACAGACTGGAAAGTTAGACGCGAATTTCGTCTAGACGAAACCCGTCTTAAATTCACATTCAGACGGATACACGAGACGAATAAAGCGTTGCCAAGCAAGAGAATACTGGAACTAGAATTCAAAATGCAAAATCTATATAAAATCTCAGACAAATTCCGCCCCCAAAGTTATATTCAGACGTGTTTTCATAGACGAGTGTCTATAATATGAATTCGGTTAATGTCAAACCAATCTCAGAAAAATTTCTAATAACTAACGAATTCCAGGACTTTCAGGCATTTCTTTATAAATTCAAGGACCTTCAAGGACTTGCATATTTGTTTTCAAATTATAATCATTATAATAATGGAACAATGGAAGAATAAATTTTGTAAAGAACGAATAACAAACACCGGTCACTTTTGTTTGCGCAAATACAAACAAGTTGGAGTCGATACCTTTTTTAACTCGTAGCAGTTTCAAATTACAGCATCAATACGTTTTGTGATGTACTTTATCTTAAAGACTAAATACACCTTGAGTTTGAAGTTTGTACCAACTCAAGTATGCGGCGATATCATTGCAGTACCAAGTTACAGCTAAAAATCATCAATTATCACACCCTATATAATAATAATGTCAATAGAAAGCAAACAGGACATATAAATTTAGGCCTGTTTTATACGTCGAATTTGGTCGCGTCGAATGCAATTCAAACAATAGATAATGAAGCTTAATCAGGTTTATCATCTCATCATCTATTGTCTTAATTGCATTCGACGCGACCAAGATTCGACGCATAAAACAGGCCTTAAACCCGGATTAAACGACAATTTGAGTGCATGCGCGTTGGCTGCAGTCACACAATTTTGATTAGCTGTTCTTAATGTTTTTCCAACACTAAAGGTCCAGACACATCGGACGCGATTCGACAACGCGACGCGATTTTTTAGTTTTTGAAAGTCAATAAAACAGCCAATGAGAGCAAATTTTAAGAGATATGCAGACCAAATAACTCAAAATGTTATAACGCTTCTAAATATTTGGAAAGTTTAAACTAGGATCAAAGTTAACGGTCAGTGAAAATTGAAAAATCGCGTCGCGTTGTCGAATCGCGTCCGGTGTGTCTGGACCTTAACATGTATTCTATTTAAGTTAAAACATAGTTGGAACGCTCATCAAACTTTTATTTTGGAAAGCTAAAACTTAAAATGTCCCTGTATAATAACAATGCGTGACTTGCCAACTCTCATCAACTCTCATTCTCGCTTCAGTCGTTTGATCGAGGCTTTACTGTCCGTTATCCGTTAGTATAGAAATTTCAAAAGTCGCCTGCAAATTCTTAGCCGTGTTTCGCGCGCAAAATACGAAAGTATATCGTTTTAAACGCTTCACGCTATGTGTGCAAACGCCATGAAGCGAGTCAACCTTATCGCAACACACCGTTCAGCCGTGCGAACAACAAGCACTGATAGTTCACCTACGCGTTAAACCGTGCTACTTTTTATGACAACTATGAGGTTTAAAACTGACATTCTCATAACAAAAAGTGCAAAACATTAAAGGAACGGTCTTTAAACTAGCCTTTTAAGATATTTTTATAATATACTAATTAGCATAAATAGCGATTGGCCAACGTGTATTTCAATACAATACAGATGCGTTCAAGTTTGCGGTAATTAAACAGCGTTTTGCCACCTAACAAACGTGCCAAACAAGCAAGATAAGCAGAAATATATTGTTATCCTCCCATAATCGTGCTATTTTCTTAAAATTTACGATAAAAATGCACTGTTAATGCTAAATTTTAGTTTCGAAAATATTTCTACATCAAATTTTACGCTTTTTTATTGATTTTCTACCGGTACAACTGACATCATATGTTAGTAATTCCACTGAACAAAATGAGATCATCCCCAGCCCAAGAGCAGTCGGCCATATCTTATCGATAATCGAACGAAAGTAAACTATGGCCAATTTAAATTCTGCGATAACGAAGATAAAATCATATGTGGAATGGTAGTTTAAATCGAAGAGGTTTAATGGAACTTAGCAAGAATGTTGGATTGAAATATAATGAAGAATAGAAGCAGCCATGTGGATTCCGACCGACCGATCCATCGCTAAATCAAAACGTGCGATTTATGTTAATGTAATATGGATTTGTATTTTTTGCGTCGGTATAAGTGCGCGGACGTACGAAAGGAAGGATTTCAATAGAAATAGTACTACCTTTGTAGGAAAGGATGGTTTTACGCAAAAGAAAGCGAGATCTGCCCAGTATGGGGGATTCTTGCCAAGACTACAGGCTGTTTATCCAAGACAGAGCGTGCCGGTGCGATTAACTACTATTCCAGTCAACGGAGGTTATCGTTTCCCGATAGCACAAAAGTTTACAAATGTTGCACCATTAGCCCAGTTGCCGGGCATACAAAGAGCCTATGTGCCTATAATCAATTCTGTTCCATCTATACGATATCCTGTATTGCGACAAGGGGGATTGACTGGTCGATATGTTGTGCCCTACACGCTTAAAATGCCCGCACAAGGCTTATCACCTGTGCCACAAGATAGCGAGGGCTTGGGAAAGCATTATAATGAGAAATATAATACCCTACCAACGATCTCAAACATGGACTTAACGCAAGATGGTTTAAGTCTACCAAGAAAAACCGAGAGTAAAAAATTAGACATTGGCGACGATTTTGATAACTTTTTGACAAGCCTAGGTAAGGCGTTCGTTTTTCATTTTTTAATTTTAGTATCGAACTGTCTCTAAGCCTCATTTTGTATTATTTTTTGGAATTAACAACGACCACAAATGCTTAAAAATAATTTTTTAAGAGTCAGTTTAATGTTTTTTTGTTGTACTGGTGAGGAAATGAGTTCGAACAAAAGTGTTTATTTTGTGAAGAAAATAATTGACCTGCAAGTAGATAAAACTTAATCAAAACAACTACAAAACGGTCAGTTCATTTACAAAAATATCCTGTTATTTAGATTAAGAACGCTTCGCTCGTTATAGATATATCATGTTTTGTTTATTTCTCAACATTTTAACGAACTATGTTTAATACTACAAGCTTCAGTGGTTTGTTTCTGTTTAAATAAGATTAAAAGCCCTTCAATGTTTCGCCAGAAAAACATGACCTTAGGAAAGGATTTCGCTAGGAACTACAAACTGCATTTTTTACTCTTCAGGTAGTTGTGAAATCATCAGACACGGCAGTTTATTTTAGAATACTGTCCTCACTTTGAGATGGCTTTTTTTCTCAGATAGTTAAGCCCGTAAACGTTTAACGGATACATTTCATCAGGGGTGCAAAACTATCGGACAACGGGACCATTGGTCCCAGATTTGCCATCTGTATTTACCTAGGATCAGACCCTTGATGTTATCCAAATTAGTTTTATGTTATATTCCTAAAAGTAGCTATCATAAAATTCTCAGTACACTGAAATATGCAAGTCTGTTAAAATATAGCGTGACATCCAGTTTGACAACTTGTTTGTCTCACACAGTTACAGCGATTAGTAAATCATTTACTTGTAATGACTATTTGCAGAAAATTTTAAATGTCTTCTTGCGATCCCAGAAAGTAAAATATTTTTTCCACCCCTATACATTTCATATTACTGTTTGTATAAATATTCGAGATTGTGAATGTTTTATGCGAACTGTTAATTAAGGCGTGGCTAAGGTTTTGGACTATATATATTCGAACATTTTATGATGACAGGAAAGCAACGATCGCTTAAAATGGTGATATACCACCATTTCATGCCCATTTTGATTCGTTGTTCAAAGGATACGGCTTATTGAATTTCATAAAAAGTATTTTTCCACGAGCAGGTACACTTTTTATTTAAGGAGTTGTAATACAATCGATGTACAGTAAATGTGACAAGTATATTGTCAGTTAATAAATCGAAAGGATAATTGGAAAATATGAATAAACATGGCGTAACTTTGAGGGCCTTGGCTTTAAACTATCATGTCTACGACTATTGAAACTATAACAATCATTCAATAACAAGTTAAAATGACTCTTTATCGCCTCCTTAATAGCGTAAAATCGCGTTTGACGTATGAAAACAAAGCTTAAACCATAATCATGAGAATAGAAGGTTAGGGAACTCGATGCAGACATTTATGCAAGAAATGGTCGGTTCATCCATAGTTAATAGAATAGATGGTTTGGAAACTCATTAGAATAACAATATAACTCATTTTCTATGTTAGTCAATGTTTATTCATAAATCTGGTCCTTCACCGACACGTGTGTATTGTATTTTTGCCAAATTCACCAATAGCAATTTCCAATTTACCCTATTGTTCAAGTCACGGATAGGTAACTTTCCTGAAATATTGCCATTGGCTAGATGGGCAAAAATACAACACGCACGTGACGGTAAAGGACCAGATTTATGATTAAACGTTGACTAACATAGATAATGAGTTCTATTGTTATTCTAACGAGTTTCCAAACCATCTATTCTTTTAACTATGGTTCATCGTCACGTGTGTATTGTACTTTCGCCAGAGCAACCAACAGCCATATTTTCATCTAACCATTGTGTGATATCACTACTGGGTAATTAAACCAACACACTGCAATTGGTTCGCAATTGGGCGCGATAAAACAATACACACATGACGATGAACAGACATTTCTTGCATAATTAAATCAAGACAAACAAAAACATAGATGAGGTTTAGTGTGTCTGTATCGAGTTTCCAAACCTTATTCTATTGATTATGATTAAACTATCCTCTAATAAACCCCTTCTTGTATAAGATATATTATGTACCATTTAAAACACGAGCAAAAGTGCTTTATCAGATATAAAACACGAGGCGACAGCCGAGTCTCTTATATCAGATATAAGCATGAACTGCGAGTGTTTTAAATGGCTTAGAAAACGACTCATCTTATGAGTTCATTGGTGAAGTAATTTTTAAAATAAACGTTGTCTAAGCCGAGAAAATCAAAGCTATAGTTTATGTAAATTAACATGATTTTTTATCACATATAAAACCACCGACACGGTATAGTGAATACCTTTGTCATTTCCTCATGAATTATTAATGAGTTTTTTAAATGATATACAGGGTGTCCCAAAAAAACCCGAAAACTATTGAAATAACGTATTGTTAGAATTTGAATGCCTCAGCACTCTGCTGAACCCACACGTGCATCAAAGCTTGACATAAGTAAGTTTTATGCATAAAGAAACCCTTTCAGAAGCTGTTTTAAATTGACCATTTGCGTAATAGACTAAATTTTGAACTAAACAAGTCTAGACAAAAATTTCATCACAGCTTGAAGGAGCATCACAAAATTAGTAATATTCCAGAGTTTCGTTGCAAAATGTTGTAAAATGCGGAAAATATAGCCTTGCGAAATTTGCAATTTTCAGTCATCGAGGCTGTCAATTTCCGGTTTGTAATCTAAAATGACTGAAAATTGAAAATTTCGCAAGGCTATATTTTCCGCATTTTACAACATTTTGCAACGAAACTTTGGAATATAGTAAATTTTGTGATGCTCTTTCAAGCTGTAATGAAATTTTTGTTGAGATGAAAATTTAGTCTATTACGCAAATGGTCAATTCCCAAGAGCAGAAAATCGTGCGCTTTACAAAGATATTTTAATTTCTTAATGAGTCAATATTTAATATATGCACCCTTGTCAATATTTTACGCATCTTTGCGTTCAGCTTAGTGCTAGGGCATTCAAATTTTAACAATACGTTATTTCAATGGTTTTGCGGGGTTTTTTTGGACACCTTGTATAAACTCTCGATGCATTTACCTTCGCATAGATGGCCCATGTACGAAGAATTCGTGTCAAAATGGCGCGAAATGTCGGATAACAAGTGACGGGACATCATATCATTGCATCTGTAAGAGAGGATACAAAGGGAAGACATGTGAAGGTACGGGATAGTGAAGGATATCTAAGAACATCTAACACTAACACCTGTATTCTAAAAGCTCACGCACGCTCACACTCAAAGAGTGGAGGTTCAATCTGAGCTTCCCTTGAGTGTCAATGCTGTTTTTGAATAGCTGGAGGGTGAGAGTAGTCACATAGTAAGGTATGACACTAGCCCACCAGCTATTCAAAAACATCACTGACACTCGAGAGAAGCTCAGATTGAACCTCCACTCTTTGAGTGTGAGCGACCTTTTAGAATACAGGCGTAAGGACCACTATAGGTTAATTTCATGGAAGAATATTGGTGGCGCAGAGTGGCATGGCTAATAACAATTTTATTTCAAATAATATGTAATAACAATTTTATTTCAATTAATATAACAGTTTTACTTTAATTAATTCGTTTCTCCTCAGACAAAAACGAATGTTTTCCTAACCCTTGCGAGAACAAAGGGGAGTGTACGCTGACCAATGAAGGGTTCGAGTGCTCATGTCCGAAAGGTTTCAAAGGGAAGAAATGTGAACGTAAGTACCGCTTGTAAATAATGTCATTTTCATAAAGATGGCGGCCGCCGATAGTGGTTCACACGGAATAGCAGGCTCATTTGGTTATAATGATACAATTACACAGCTCCCGATTATAATTGAGAAAATTTGTCATGCATGTTATTAACGAGTATTATCATGAGAATTAAGTCCTATTCAAGTAAGATTGTTGATCGTATTTAATATCTACCGGGTGTCCCCCAAAAAAGTGGACACTGTTTGATTTTATGCAACGTAAAAGCTATAAAAGCTAAATCGCAATGAAATAAAGATCATTGCATTCAGAAAGGACTAACTTAGATTTTGATATATAGCACTTGAATTTACATGCAATATTATCAGATGCCAAGGAACATCTAAAACCCAGTAGTATGTCTAGCAGTACCATACCGAAACTTGAGTCAGCACCTCTTAACGAATCCGACCCAGTTCTGGTTCTGGTTTGTTTACAGTTGACATATTTATACAGTATAGTGATCATACTGTATATTTTTGTTTTGGTTGTATCTCGCTCAATATTGCATGTAAATTCAAGTGTTATACATCAAAATCTACGTTAGTCCTTTCTGAATGCAATCATAGCGTTTACGTTACATGAAATCAAACAGTGTCCAGTTTTGGGGGGATACCCGGTATATAAAGAATACTAAGCAGGATCAGTTTTATACACGTTTTATCAGGTATAAAGGCTAATAAAGGTACTTCGCGTGAGATATTCTGGTTGACATGATTTACCAACGACTATAAGAATTTTTTAAAACCTTAAATTGAAACCATCATACAATTTTGTTAGTCTGGAATATATGACGTGTATGCTTTTTTCCAAATTGCATCTCAAATTATATTATTATTAACTACACTACTAAAATTTTCTTGTCTTTATTTTTCAGAGGAAAACACGTGCGAACCTAACCCCTGCCAGCACGATGGCATTTGCACTGAACTAAAAAGCGGAGGTTTTGAATGTACTTGCAAGAAAGGCCATTTTGGTGATAAATGTCAAGGTAGGTAGGGCTATACTACTCTTGTCGTAGGAAGTTAGGCTATACTGACTACTCTTGTCGTAGGAAGTTAGGCTATACTACTCTTGTCGTAGGAAGTTAGGCTATACTACTCTTGTCGTAGGAAGTTAGGCTATACTACTCTTGTCAAATGCAGTTTAAAAACGACGCGCAAAATTTATTTTTTTTTCTTCATCTGAAGACATTGTTCTCTGATTACCGGATAGGGTATCCAGATTCGGCACATACTAAAGAAAATAATAAAATGTGTTTTTACTTCCTCCAGTGAGCAAGCAAGGTTGCAGTCCCAACCCATGCCTAAACAATGGTCATTGTACAGAGAGGGATAATGGTGGACATGAGTGCATGTGTGCCGAAGGATATACAGGGACAAACTGTGATAGTAAGTGAAATAAAAGAATAGAAAATGTTTTGTTGTACAATGGACATACAGGAGAAACAGGGATACACGGTGATATACAGGGACAAAACGGGTACATACAAGATATACAGGGACAAACTGTGAAGTGAGATACAATTCGCAGGATAGGAAATGTTCAAAAATGCAAAATTCATGGATGCATTTTTATTGTAGGACCCAATAACAAATGTTTCATCAACCCATGTAAAAATGGCGGTTCCTGTATGCAAGCAATGACAAGTCTGGGGTACGAGTGCGCATGCTCGAGAGGCTTCAGGGGAACTAACTGCGAAGGTAAATTATCTCAAACTTTCCCACTTTTAATAACTGAACAAAGTTAATCCCATTTTGTAAAACTTCAAAGAAACACAGCATTAAACATTATCCGTATCAAGCATTAACACCCATCTATCAGATAAAGCAACTTTTCCTTCACAAGTTTTATTTGCTTGTGTGTACGGTAAAAAAAATTATCTTTATTCCTTGTCAATGAGCCTTGTTCCGAAGCTTGTCATGCCAGCTTTGGGACAGGGAAAATTTGCTCGTGTGTACGGCCGCCAAGGAAAACTTGACAAGTACAACAAATACTTCTATGGTTTTGGCAAACAAAAGGTGGCCTTGACGTAAGATAAATGTTTAACAACATTCCGTGCACATGACCAACAAAACGTGTCAAGGAAAACTCGTTGACCGTACACACGAGAAATTAAACTTTTTAAGCGAAAGTTATGAAGGAAAACGTGTTGACCGTAAACAACGGGAGAAGTTAAACTTGTCAGGGAAACATGTCAAGGAAAACTTGTTGATCGCACACACGAGAAGTAAACTTATCAAGGGAAACTTGTTGACTGTACACACGAGAAAGTAAACTTATCAAGGGAACTTGTCAAGGGAACTTGTCAAGGGAACCTTGTTGACCGTACACACGAGAAGGTAATCTTGTCAAGGAAAACTTGAGCTGTACGGGGTAACTTAGTCTTAAATTGAATTTATTGTAAGTTTCAAAAAATTGCAGCTTTTGAAAAAGTCAAAAACACTCTTCTCACATTTATCAATTATCATTCTTTTCCTCAGACCATTCGGGATGTGACGTCACCTCGTGTCAAAATGGCGGGACTTGTTATGAAACAGAATTTGGAGTGAGGTGTATCTGTAGAAATGGATATTCTGGTGACAAATGTCAGAGTAAGAAATACAAATTGTATATTCTGATTGGTTGACCTTCGCAGTAACTGCAGTTTTATAAGAATATGTGAATGTAGACAACCACTAAAATTTTTCAAAATTTTCTAGTTCGTAAATTCTGTGAGGCAGACACGTGTCAAAATAATGGCAAATGTATTGAACACGTGCGAGGATTTCGCTGCGTTTGTCCGGAGGGATACAAGGGGAAAATGTGTGGAGGTAGGTACAAGTGTATAACTTCATTGTATATATATGTTGAAATCAGTGAGCTGTTATATACATCTGCAGCAAGAACTTCAAGCCTGCTTTCCACTAGCGAATTTCTTCGCGCGAAGCGAATTTTTTATTGTTAAAATTGAAAATAATTTATTAAAAATCTAATTAGTTCCAGCCGAGAGCTTATAAGACAAAAGATTCGCGCGACAAATTTCGCTAGTGGAAAACTGACTTCAGTCAATCGGACTCGAGACTTTTTGGACTCGAGTTCTCAAATATATATATATTGAGCCCACTAGTTGAAATAAAATATCCTATTCCGATGATCAGGAAAATGGAAACTGTTACCAGTCGTATTTTTAATCGAAACTACTCATTATTATTTTAAGTTTTTAATTAATTTTATGTCATTCTCTAGAAATTGATCGTTGCCGTCCTAACCCGTGTCTACATGGCGGACATTGCGAGCAATCGGATACCGGATACTTCTGCAAATGTCCAGCTCGGTATCAAGGTCAAAACTGTGAAGGTACGTGGGGATTGAGCAGCAATTATTTAAGAAATGTTTACGAGATGGTTTAAAGAGTCATTGTCGACCACAATGCATTTGTTTACATCTTGCCTTCGGAAGTAAAAAAGCAACAAATGACGATTAAAAACATTTCTTTGGTGCAATTTAATATAAAAAAGTTAAAATGAGTAATATATTATGGATTGAAAACCGAAACATCTATTATTCCGCCATTACATGGCCGCCAAGCAGATTTGGGCCTTTAAAAGAGCAGGTACACAAATTTTTATGTGTTAGTGTGTTACCAAGTAACAATGCAAAATAATTTTCTTTCCTTTTCTTTTCTTTTCTTATCTTAGTTTCCAATCCCTGCGCACGCAATCCATGTAAAAATGGAGGAAAATGCTCCAGCGGTCTTGATGGTCAGCAGTATCAATGTCAGTGTTTAGATGGATATCTGGGTAGAACTTGTGAAGGTAGGGGATGATAGGGGTAATTAAAGATACAAAAGGCGAAACAAAGAGAGATATAAGCTTCGACATAATTAGGGGAGGGGCGATTTATGACCCTATGTGACTCCAGTCTAGTGCCTTTATCAGGAATAATATAAAATAGTAACCTTTACAGTATATTTTAGCTTTTCAAATTGGGGTTGTTTTGCTTGTAGAACGTAATCTTTGCACGCCAAATCCATGTGAAAATAACGGGGTCTGTCGGAGTACTCCATCGGAGTTTGTGTGTCAGTGTCGGGATAGTTTTCAAGGAAAAACCTGCTCAGGTGAATAATTTTAAAAGTGTGATTTAATGTACCGTCATAACGAATCATCACTGAATTTTTTTTATAGTATATAATACTAGGTTTTCTGGAGACATTAAAATAAATTGAAGCACTTGATTCACTCTCAAAACGTAATTTGCTGTATTTTATTAAAAATACTAAATCATTGCATTAAATTTCAGAAAAAGATCCATGTCGAGAGAACCCATGTCTTAACAATGGTGTTTGTAAGAGAAATGGGAACAATGATTTTACTTGTACTTGCGCAGACGATTATAAAGGGAGTCGGTGTGAAGGTATGAGAATGATAATGATACATTTTACAATATTTACTAGGTTCGTTCATGTTATAAAAAAACCTGATTAAGCTAGGGACTACCTCAATAAAATTAAATTGGTAAAATTAAAACATCCTTTATCTTTTATATAGTAAAACGACATTGTCTTCCTAACCCATGTTTAAATTATGGTGTTTGCGAAGAAAGTGGAAATGATTTCACCTGTTCTTGTAAGGAAGGTTTTCGAGGTCAGAGATGTGACGGTAAGCATACCTAACTGTCGTTTATTATCACAATTATCATAATTATTCGCGTTGTCAAGAATGTTCGCCACCGCAATTAACAGGAGTTCTCGAAAAGTCACAAAATAATAAAATATATATTGAGAGATGTTTCGAATCATGTATAAAAAGAGTTCTCGGTACCAAGATACTGCAAATAAGATTATAGAAGACAAACTTGAGTTACTTCATTGAAACTTTATTTCACTATACAAATTTGATTCGTGATGATTGTGGCGAGAATTGCGATTTGCATGATGAGTTTGTAATGGGAAACAAATTAGTTGGGAAATACTGTAATGCAGCTTGAATGAAGCAACTCAAATTTGTCTTCTGATCCTATATGATTGAAACAATGTCTCCCCCTAGCCTCTGACTCGTTCTGAGAAACAGTGTCTCGTTCTGACCATAACAATTTATATCTACATGACAATTACGTATTAATATTTATTATTATATGAAGTATAGTGCTTTATAGAGATTTCGAGCACTGATAAAAGTGATAATCTCACATGTGAGATTATTTATGATAATCTCACATGTGAAAATTATCGCTTTTCAATTATCGCTTTTTTGTAAAAATTATCGCTTTTCAAAGATTGTCCTTTATATAATAAACAGAAAAATACATGGGTGCTTGGAAATACCAGATTTATTTCTCGTGTTGAACATGATATATCTCACTCGTTCGCTGCGCTCACTCGTGAGATATCATGTTCAACACTCGAAATAAATCTGGTATTTTCGCGCACCCATGCATTATTCTCTATATTATATATGTTATAATGTATATGTTACTTGCTCCACCGCAGTGCATGGGAATGGATAATTCCAGCTCTAGACGAAATTTTGATCTAGACAAGAAGTACGAAATCCATTACCGTAGCTGGAAAGAGCATCTTAAAATGAGTAAAGTTTGGTTGCGAATGGTTGTAAAATGAAGAAAATATATAGCCATGTGAAGTTCGCAAATTTTGTATATAAATATTTGCATTACGCGAAAAATAACCATTTTTTAGCCGAAAGTATGGTTATTTTTACCGCACGTAATACAAATATATACAAAATTTGCGAACTTCACATGGCTATATTTTCTTCATTTTACAACATTTAGCAACCAATCTTTGCAGTTTTAGTCATTCTAAGACGCTCTTTCTAGCTGTGGTGTTGGATTTCTTGCCCTGATCAAAATTTCGTATATAGCTGGAATCACCCATTGAACCTATACGATATTTGTTTTGCTACGAGGCCAAGTCTATTTCGAAACTGAGTTTCAAAACTAGTTTCTTCAATATCTATATATCTTGTTAACTTAATCCACCATTGTTGTCCGTATATAGTTTCATTATTAATCAATATTTTATCAATTCCATTGAATCTAGAACAAGATCAGTGTGCCCCAAATCCTTGTCGAAATGGCGGGCGATGTGTCTCAGTTGGTCTCCATGGCAACGCAAAACCATTTGTTTGCGAGTGTGCCAACAGTTTCTATGGTGATACATGTGAAGGTATAAAAAGTACTAAACTGTAATTGAATGGTTGAATGATGCCTTTTCGACGGAAGCAGTTTGAAAATCGTGTTCGCACTTTAAGGTGGCTCGATATAGTTATCACAAAAACTCTGCCGCTCAAGAATCGCGAACTCAAAACCGGATGACCATTCTTACGTGCAGGTCGCGGAAACTGATTAATAAAATGAAAGAACTGCCAAAATAACCTGACGTGAGCAGTTGCTCGCGCCATCTAACGTCATTGCGCATGTTCTATAGCGTTTTATGTTAATTGCTGACGTCATTAGAATTTTCAATTTTAGAAAAACAATGCGCTATATCTCATTATTTTGTCTGGTGACCTATGTTCAAATTTTGCATGCTGTATTGCACTGCTAAAAACTTTCATTATACAAAAAATAAAAAATTCTGTAATGCCAAAAAGTTTTACCGCAGAATATGACATTTTCGCATTTTCCAAAAAAAATGGCATTACAGAATTTTTTATATTTTGCTAATTGTTAGCTTTTCGTCCAAGTAAAATAATGCAAGAAAAAAAATTGGGGGTCACCATGCTTCTTTTCCAACTACACAAGACGATAGGCCATTTTGGAGTGAATTTCGTACACGTATGTCGTCATAGCAACGAACTATCTGTTACTAAAACTAATGTAATTTGAAAGTAGAGATATCAAAATATATAAAAAAAAACAATACTGCTGAATAAATGCTAAAAATGCGTAGTTTGAATATGTCAAAGTGTTGAACACCTGAATTTTTGAAAACTGTAACGAGCCACCTTAAATTAAAACACTTTCGATAAAACGAAACATATTTTTCTTTCAGAACGTAATCCGTGCCACCCGAACCCATGTGGAAACGACGGACAATGTACAGAGATAAACGGCGGGTTTACTTGTCAATGTCGCGCAGGATACAAGGGAGAGAGATGTCGTGGTAAGCTGAAGATTTCTAATTTTTTTTTCTTCAATTGCAAAATTTTTTAATGGTTCTAAAGCCCTGGGCAAACTAGGAAACATTGTTGCGGAAACATTGTTTCCCATACAAATGTTTCGCCATGTTTCCAAGAGTGGGCAAACACTAGGAAACATTAGTGAGAAACATAGGGAAACATCAAATGATTCTGAATTCGCTAGGAAACATTTTTGTTTCCACGGGTGGGCAAACAGGGAAACATTCGAGGAAACATCGAGAATCACAAATGTTTCCACAACAATGTTTCCACGGGTGGGCAAACAGGGAAACATTCGAGGAAACATCGAGAATCACAAATGTTTCCACAACAATGTTTCCTAGTTTGCCCAGGGCTTACTGTCGATGCAATAGAAGTGTTGATAACATATTGCATCAATTCCTTTCCTCAAGTTGACCAATTCATTTGATAGAAAATTGATCAACTTCCTGTTTACTGTCATGCTTGTTCCCAATTGGTCAATCAGTCGCTGAAACGTAAAGCCATTGGTTGATTCAAACACACAGGAAGTTGATCAATTTTTCAACGAATAAATTGATCAGTTCTAAGTAATGAATTGATGCGATATTCCATTGCAACGACAGTAACAATATACATGAAAAAATTTCTAAATTCTGATTGGCTACGAGGAGTGCAATTTTTTCGAAATACAGTACCAAAAAATAAAATACAGTGCAAAAAAATAAATGCAGTGCAATTTCTTAATTTTCTTAATTTTTTTATATTTCAATTTTCTTAATTTCTAAATGTGCATAATTTTTTTATGTATATTATTAATACGTAATAGTATGGTTTCTTGTGCAATTTGAACTCTGAAACTCGCGAGTTTTTCAAAAACTTCAAATTGAACTTTTTACTTTTAACTTTTTATTTTATTTTTGCAGAAATTGATAAATGTAATCCGAATCCGTGTCAACACGCGGGATCTTGTTCCGAAATTATCGGCGGACTGGGTTACGCCTGTAAATGTCCTTATGGATACCAGGGACAAGACTGTGAACGTAAGATATTTGTGGATAATTGTTGATAGATAAGGCGTCATTTTATTTTTGTCCGGATAAAATTGCAATACAATCATAACATATAGCCGAGACTGCAAGATCGGTAAAATATGCATATCAAAGTATTGAACTATTTTGATAATGGATGACTCCAGCTGTAGACTAAATTTTGAGCTCGGCAAGAAGAACAAAATCTATCACCACAGCTAGAAAGAGCATGTTAAAATTAGTAAAATTGCAAAATTTGGTTGCAAAATGTTGTAAAATGCGGAAAATATAGCCCTGCGATATTTGCAAATTTTGTATTAATTTGAATTACGCGCGGGAAAATGCACCACTTTCGGGCCAAATGTGGTGCATTTTCCCGAGCGTAATATAAATTAATACAAAATTTGCAAATTTCGCAGGGCTATGTTTTCCGCATTTTACAACATTTCGCGGCCAAACTTTACTAATTTTAACACGCTCTTTCTAGCTGTTGCGATAGATTTTATTTTTCTTACCTAGATCAAAAGTTAGTCAATATCTGAAATTGCCTATTGAACAGTTTCTATGTTTCATTATAGAAAAAGATTACTGCCATCCTAACCCATGTGATCACGAAGGCCAGTGTACGCCTGTGGACAATGAGGCAGGATATCAATGTAAATGTGTGCCGGGATATATGGGACAGCGGTGTTCAGGTAGGTGACACAGCCTCACTTTATGTAGCTTTACACAAAATGCACGGGGGTTCATAGTATCGCCGGTGGATAACCCAATAAACTGAAATATCTTCTAACCAAAGATATAAAAATTTTGTAACATGACTTATTCTACAGTTTAAGGAGTTCTTTCAGTCTAAACGTATTTAAATTTTGTTGCCCCGTACCCTTTAATCTATAAATGTCTAATGATTTGTTTCTTCCATATTTTAGTGCCTAACCCATGTGAACCCAACCCGTGTTACCACAACAGTAAGTGTGTATTGTTTCCTGGTTTTGGAAAGAACCATGAATGTAATTGCACGATAGGATGGTCTGGAGACACGTGTCAGAGTGAGTCAAATTCAATCATTCAGAAATCTTTCATCACGAACACTTCATGATGTACACACGTAAAAACGCACAAGTTGTTACAGGTCTGCGAACAAGTTGTTACAAATCTGTTCACAAGCTGTCGACAAGTTGTTTTCGCACTGCTTGTTCCCAGTTGTTGTAAAAAGCTTGAAACAAGCTGTTATCAAATTGTAACAAGCTTGATGGCATCATCAGACTGGTTACAAGATTGTTCTAACAAGTTTGATACAGTCATGATATAACAAGAATGTTACAAGGTTGACGACACAAGGTTGTAACAATATTGTTATATCATCACTGTATCGGACTTGAGAGAACAACCTTGCCACAAGTCTGATAATGTCATCAAGCTTGTTACAAGTTGTTAACAACTTGTTCCATACTTGTTGACAAGTTGGAACAAGCAGTGCGAACACAACTTGTTGACGGCTTGTTAGCAGACTTGTTACAAGGTGTGAGATTTTTACGTGTGTACACCAGTGTCGACTGCGCATCCACAAATGACACGTTCGTTAGAATTTGAATGCCCTAGCACTAAGGCTAAGCTGAACGCAAAGATGCGTAAAATATTTCCAGGGTGCATAAATTATATTAAATATTGACTTATTAAGAAATTAAAATATCTTTGCGAAGCGCACGATTTTCTGCTTTTGGGAATTGAAAGCTTCTTCTATCAACAAGGTGTGTTCGCAACAGACTTCTAGCAAGCTTGTCAACAAGTTGTAACAATGCTGTTATTTTATCAAGTTGCTACAAGGTTGTCACTCATAACTTGTTGACAAATTGTTGAATTGCAGGACGATAACAAGTTGTTGGAACAATTTGTAACAAGTCTGTTGAGCTCAACAACCTTGTAGCAAGTTGTCAACAAGCCGTCGACAATTTGTCAACAAGCAGTGCGAACACATCTTGTTGACAAGTTGTTGAAACAGCATTGCTACAAGTCTGCTGCATGTGCAGGTCTGTTACAACTTGTGCGTTTTTACGTGTGTAGCACGGTCATTTGGATGCCCAATATTGTGGTGTATAGTCAAATGGCTGTATACATAAATATAAACATACCGTCAAAACAATTTTCAACAAGACAATAACACAGTAATCGGTATTTCTGTGTTATAACAGAGCGAGAGATATGCAAGCCTAACCCCTGTCAGTTCGGTACAAAATGCGTGGAGACTGGTGATGGCAGTTACAGTTGCGTCAAGTCAATGTGCCACCCGAATCCCTGTCAGAATTCTGGGAAATGTATCAATGTTAATGAAAATAACTTCCAGTGCGCATGTACCTCGGATTATCAAGGGGAAACATGTAGAGGTAAGATTTCTTTATTGTAGGAACAAAAAACGTGTTGAAGTAAAATTCAAATGTCATTTTAGCTCACTTAATTTTTTTCAATCTGCCCACCTTTGGGAAACATGGCTAGAAAACAATGTTTCTTGTTTTGTCCACCTTTCGGAAACATGGCTAGGAAACAATGTTCCTGGTTTGTCCACCTTCGGGAAACATGGCTAGCAAAAATGTTTCCTGATTTGTCCACATTTGGGAAACATGGCTAGGAAACAACGTTTACTGTTGTGCTCACCTTCGGGAAACATGGCTAGGAAACAATGTTTCCTGGTTTGTCCACCTTTGGGAAACATGGCCAGGAAACAATGTTTCCTGGTTTGTCCAGCTGTAGGAAACATGACTAGGAGACAATGTTTTCTGATTTACTCGCCTTTGGGAAACATGGCTAGGAAACAATTTTTTCCTGGTTTTTGCACCTTTGGGAAACATGGCTCAGAAACAATGTTTCCTGTTTGTCCACCTTTCGGAAACATGGCTAAGAAACAACGTTTCCTGGTTTGTCTACCTTGGGGAAATATGTCTAGAAAACCTTGCAAATGCAACTAATATGTTATTACGAACTAAACAGAACTAACACACTACTTTTCTACATAAGGTGACGATATTTCAACTGACCTTGATCAATCGACGGACAAGAGCAACCGAGCTTCAATCGAACGACATACGACGGCGGACGACGAACCTGCAACGACAAATGTCGACAAATTGCTTCGACTTGTAGACCGCACATTGAACGCTTACAAATCAAAACACCAGCAAACAAATACAAATGTAAATAACGAAAAGGTGACGAATTTACTCAAAACATTAAGAAACGGTATAACAACCAAAAAGACAAACCAAATAACCTCACGACGACTTGACGAAGATGACACGACAAATGACGATGACCTTATGACTTACCAAGAACGAAATGCAAAACAGCTTGACGACATAACGAAACACGCAACAATAAGCCAAAACACGAACAAAAACGTTGACAAAACGAACGACAATTCTGATATTATAAAAACCGATGACGATTTAATTAAATCGCTTAACCCAGAAGGCGAAGTAGTTGTCGACAATCTCAACACGAATCGACAAAACGATATAACAAAACACGAAACGGTAAACGCAAACACGAACGAAGGCCTACAAAACACAAACGATATAATGAAACTCGATGACGATTTCATAAAATCAGTTAACCCCGAAGGGCAAGTGGTTGTCGACAATTCCCCACGAAAACCATTGCCTCCCAAACAACTTTTTTATGAGCTTAATAGTAAACGAAAGAACGCAAAAACAGACCAAAACACGAACGAAATCTCACAAAACACGAACGAAATCCCACAAAACACGAACGAAATCCCACAAAACACGAACGAAATCCCACAAAACACGAACGAAATCCCACAACAAACAAACGGTCATCTTCAATACACGAACGACCACTTGCAAAACACGAACGAAAATCGACAAAACACGAACGAAAATCGACAAAACACGAACAAATTCCCACACACCACGAACCAATTCCCACAAAACACGAACGAAAACCGACAAAACACGAACGAAATCGGACAAAACGATAACTCAGACAGAACAAAACTAGACCAAGATTTGGTAAAATTAATTAACCCCCAGGGAGAAGTGGTTGTCGATGATTCACGACAACCGCCGACGTTTAACGAACAACTTACGAAAGATAGTTCAGGAGTAGACAGAGACGATATACAAAACGATTTAATGACAAACTTACGAACTGACGAGACGAGACATGACGAGGAGGCGTTTATAAAAAGTATTAACCCTGCTGGGGGAGTCGTAGTCGATAGTGACCACGAAGGTAAAAGAAAACAGTAACAGACTGTAAAATTGCAAAGCAAGGAAACATTTACTTCCTAACACCGCAATATAATAAAATGTCAGTCGTCGCAATTTTCGACAGCAAACGGCAATTGTCACTGAAAATGAAATTATTGATGGCAATTTTTTGCCAGTGGTTATCAAACACGTACAGATAATCCATTATCAAAATTGACATGCACTTTCAAATTGGGGTTTTTTTTTGAGGGGATGCCGTATTGTAAAATCAGGACGGCAATTTTTGTCTACATTGATTTTTACGAGTACTGCAATGTAATGGAATCCAAAACTAAAGAAGAAATAGCATGACATTTCATGGCACAACACAGCGCGAACAAACGCGGCAACCTTAGCGCATAAACTTTTACTACAAATCTGCTCAAAATCTAAGTCAATTTTACTCAAAATGTATGTGAAAAAAACATCACGTAAGGAAATAATAACAGGCAGCAAACGCAAAAACATAAATTTAAGGCTTTAGATCAACACGAATGACTGAAATAGAAGATTTCTAAACAGGAATTCGGGAAATGATCTTAGTTTAATATTACTAACTGGTCGCACTCAGGTCTCGTAAGATGTTTTCTCTCAGAATATTGACCAAGTAAAGACCATAAACAACTATAAACAACTTATTAATAACGACGACTTGACACTACAGTTTACGGACAATAGAAACGAACACTACACAGTCGATCAAACAGAACACAAATGTAATATTTCTCAAAAATTTTCATAATTTCTTCTTTCGTATAGTTCCACGAAAGCATTCACAATTATCCCTGGTTCCCACCTCACCACCTTCTATCTACTCTCAACAATCACCTACTATCCCTGCTGGTGCACCACCATCCTTACAGCTAACGACAAGTCCCGCTCGTGTTAGCGCTCCCGACCTGAAATCTGGTAAGCCACCCAACATTCCAATGTCTGGTAAGTGGTTCTTAATAGATAGGCCAATTAAGACTGATTTACACTGTCAACATTTCTGTGATCACAGTAGGAATTTTGCGTAGGTAAATTCTACGTTTTGAAGGATTTGTAAGAAATGTTTCAGGGAATGAATGGGCTATTCCAGCTATAGACTAAATTTTGATCTAGGCAAGAAGAACAAAATCCATCACCGCAGCTAGAAAGAGCATGTCACCACACATTTGGGCCAAAAGTGGAGCATTTTCCTGTGCGTAATACAAATTAATACAGAATTTGGAAATTTCACAGGGTTATATTTTCCGCATTTTACAACATTTCGCGGCCAAACTTTGCAATTTTACTAATTTTAACATGCTCTTTCTAGCTGTGGTGATGGATTTTGTTCTTCTTGCCTAGATCAACATTCAGTCTATAGCTGGAATAATCCATTGACTCAGTGTTAAACAGTGGGTTAGTTCCCACAAACAGTTCTTACAAATTCTTCGAAACTTACACCCACAGTCTCATGGCAAACACATCTTACAACGAATGAAACTGAAGCTCATTGCGGCATGCAGTAAAAACCAGCATAACAGAACCAGTATTTTTTTAAGTCAGGCTGAAGTGGTTTTTATATAATAGGTACTGTACTTAAGCCTAGTTTCCATTTGGTCGTTAGTTGTCGCTGGCACGACAAGTGGCTGATGTAATAGAGTGTCAGCAAAACTTTTTAAACCTCTGCAATCATTAAGACTGATTTGCATATAACACACAAAAGACTATTATTATATTAGACTATTTCACATCTACCGCTTGTCGTGCCAGCGACAACTAACGACCAAATGGAAACTAGGCTTTAGTGAGAAATCAGGCTGAGTTGGTTCTTAACTGGTTCTTGTTTCTCGTCAAAAACAATTGTCCCTGGTTTAGTGTTTTAAATTATTTGCTTCCCAAGGTGGTCAGCTGCTGACAGTATGACACTAATAACTGCCATTTAAAAAGCCTCCGAATTTGATGAAAACGCATTTGCTATGGTTCTAAATCAATTACATAAGTCCTATACGTGCCCTCAGAATGTGCTTTATATGTACTGTATATGCAGATTTCAGAGAACGTATGGTGCAGCACATTTTGATAAACTTCAATCTTGGAACAAGACTTGTAAAACGCTTTTGGCAATGTTTACACAACAAGTAAATTACAGGCATCCCAGTATATAAGATGACAAAAATTTCCCGCAAGATGTAAGAAAATTTCCTACCAAGATATTTTATTAAAATTGCCTGCCGGACATTTTCCAGCAGTGCTTGGCTGTTCTCTCTAGTGGTTTAGCAAGAGTCACCAAAAACGCAAAGAGAAAATGCAGATGCAATAACCACCAGAGTGGTACCAGCAGCCACTACTTAGGCTAAATACAATATAGTATGGAAAGATATTTGATATTTGATTTCTCTTTCAAGCAATCGCAAGCTGTTCCCCATTCTTATGTCAAAATGGAGGAGTTTGCGTACAAGAAGAAGGGAAGACAATCAGATGTAAATGTCCATCGATGTACACAGGAGAGACTTGTCAAAGGAATAAGTGTCAGGATAATCCTTGTAGAAATAATGGGACGTGTCTGCCTGTACAAAGAGAGCCTGGATTTGTTTGCAAGTGCAAGGATGGACTGACTGGGCCGTTATGTTCACGTAGGTGAAACTTACAATAGAATGCAATAGCACAGAATGCAATAGGGTACAATGGAATGGAAAAGAATAGAAGTGAATTAAATAGAATAGGATGAGAAAATAGGCATAAGAACGGTGGGATTTTCAAATCAATGAAAAGACAATGGAACATTACAATCACTGGAGCCTGGTTGTGTTCACATGTGTATGAAATTTAGCTAGGATTTCCACAATATATATAGATAAGCCAGCTTTGAATAGGCGAGGGAGGTATACACAGTAGAGTGTAATTTAATAGTGTGAAATTGATTTCAATTATATTGAGTAGAAAAGAATAAATGGAATGGCATAGAAAGGCATTGGATGGAATAGAAATCTATATATAGAATACAATGTAATTTAATACAATACAACGCAATGCAATAAAATGAAACAAAATGTCGTCAAAAAGAAAAAAATCCAAAATAATGCAACAGGCTCTGTAGAATTTCAATGAATGCCAATTGGTAATTTACTGCAGGAACAGTGAATGAATAGTTCCGCATAGCAGCACAGAATAGAATGCAATAGGGTATAATGGAATGGAAGATAATTAAATAGAACAGGATGAAAAAATAGGCATAGACTGAGAGCCTGGTTTTGTCAGCAATTGCAAGGAAAGATTGACAGGGCCATTGTGTTCACATTTGTAAAGCCTGGTTTACACTATCAAAGTTTCTGTTATCACAGTAGGAATTTTGCATACAAAAATTCCAAGTTTTGAACAATTTGTAAGAAATGTTTGAGGCAATTAACTCATGTGTTAACACATATATTAATACATTATTTCTCTCCCTAGGTAAACCCTGTGAACCTAACCCATGTTTGAATAATGGTCAATGTGTGATGTTCTACAGTATTTATCTTTGTAAATGTAAACCTGGATTCAGGGGAAAATTATGTGAAGGTATGAAAATGATGATAAGAAACTATAGAAAATTAGAAATCGTCTTTTTAAAGAACGAGTCATAAACGCTGGTCACTTTTGTTTGGGAAAACAAATCAGAAAATGACCAGTTGTCATGGCTAGCCTCGCCATTGTTGTTAAAGTGCGACTAACCACTAATATGATTTTTGGTTTGTGTAATATTTGGGTCATTCGAAGAAGAAATGTAATATATCTTTATAATAAAAAAATCCATCTTGATCACCTTTTCACTGTCAAAGTTTCCGGATATGATGTCATTAGGAGAATTGCAAATAAGTTTTCCTTTGTTTTTTTGCACCAAACATTCAGCTAATGACATCATATTTGGAACTTTGACAGTGAAAAAGTTGATCAAGATGAGGTTTTTTACTATAAAGATACATTACATTTCTTCTTAGAATGACCCAAATATTACACATACCAAAAATGATATTTGGGGTTAGTCGCACTTTAACAAATGAAGAGTAAAACAAGTTATATCTGCTTGCTTCTCTTAGAAAACTTTGGACCTTTGTACAACAACAACGAAATACCACTACATACGAACGATCTGAACCAACTAATGACCAACCATAACGATCAAAACAGTAACTACAATGACAACCAAGGCAACGCCAAGACTATGAATATTAAACCCTCTAAAAACAATTACGAAGAGTATAGGAATGAACTCAACGTGAAAGGCGACGAATACAACAACAAATACAACAACGAGAACAATTACAACAACATACTCCAAACAACCCAGGAGAGTTCACCATTGCTGGACTCTAAACCGCCTAGACAGTCCTACTTTCTTATTCCAAACAAAGATATAGATCGGAAGAGCGTCGTG